TTTTTTGATAACCGAGAAATCCGTCTGTGACCCGCCCTTTGGACCAATCACAGCCTTCTAAACTCGGTGGATAATGGGCCCGCCCCTCTACCCTTCTCCACTTAAATACCGGGCTTCGCTTTGCATGGTGTGGGGCTTGAACCTGCGACCTAAGCCACAAATCCTCCACCTTTTGCCACTTGAGCTAGGCCTTGGGGGCTATTGTATCTCTTTTTCTTTTTGGTGTTTTGGTGTAAAGACACAGTTATAGAGGAACTAGAGCTTGTAGATCTGTTAGGTTCTCTGTAAGTAGTTTCTTCATTATTCTCAAGCATATCCTTGATGCTGAGGAATACAACATTACCAGTTTCAGAGAAAAAAGAAAAATGAATGTGATCATCTCCAGAACTACGAGATTTTGTTGATTTCAATTTTGTTCCTCATAAAATTGTCAATTGTTATAAAGCCTTAATTTACTACACAAATAAATCCAATTGAGACTGATTTCAACTAATTCACAAGGAGAAGTCAGATTCATTAGTGGTTTTGGTTAAAGTGTCAAAAAAAATCAGTCCAAACACTTATATATGCACGGAAAAAATATGTTTTCTCAAGCTTAAAGTTAGAACAATAACATCAGAAAAGGAATCGAAGTTTCTAGAGAGCATAAATCGACTGGATAGTTCTGTTTGTGTCATACCGGAAGAAAGTGCCGGCGCAGAGTTTGTGACGGTGACAAAAGTAACTCGCCGGCGAACAGAATTTACGCCATTGTTATCCTGTTAATTGACAAAACCACGGCGAACTGTTGAAATTGAAATCTAAGGGACGAGAATGAATTGGAAACCCTAGGGACGAAAAAGAGATTTGCAATAACTTCTGTGAAATTTGCAAGCAGTCCTCGATAGTATCGACTTCGTGCCGTAGTCCGTACTAACAAAAAATAATTTCAATCACGAATTTTTGCATAAATAATGTATGTGCTATTGCAATGTTTGATTTATATTATAAAGAAAATTAGTATTCACAATTTATGCACACTTAATAACTAAAATATTATTTTTTGTTTAATTAATATTTGCTTTAATATATTATGCATGAACAAGTGTATGATTATAAATTATAAAAATAAAAACATAGTATTATTGATATTGAGAAAAAGTACTTAATAAAAAAAAAACTCTCAACCTTTTTCTTCTTTCTTTTTGGAGCTTGCATGAAATTATAATCGAGCTCTCGTTTTAAGATTTTTGACACCATTTTAATAAAATATAGTTTCATCAAACAAAGTAATTGACACTAAAGTAAATATTTTTTCATATCTATTAATCAAAGTTATTGAAAAAAACATTTTCTCTATGCAAAACAAATATCTTAAAAATGAGAGAAATAACTTCCCTAGAACTCCTCGAAAAGAAAACCCAAAAAAAGATAGCATTAAATATTTAACCATCATAAAATCCGCAACTTAGAATCCCTATTAAATATTCATAAAATTTCTGGATCAATTAGATTATAGCTCAACCTTTCACCTGCTACTTCTCCCAAACGTTAGAAATATTAAAACCATCATAAGATCTCCAAGTTAGAATCCTGTTAAAAAAATCAGATAAAATGTGAGATTGAAGAGTGTCATATTCATGCACACAAATCAAGAGAGGAAGAGTAAGATTAGGCCAACTTTGAAAGGAGCTAATTAGTGGAAGACTGAAGAGAACCCTGAAAAAAAGGATCGAAAGAAAGAGGGGAAGAGCTGCACAACTATGCTGTGACTGCAAATAAAAGTTGAGTAATACCACGAACTAATACGCAAATGATCAAAATTACCCACTTTTTTTGGTGACTATCAACTTCCTTGATTACCAAAGTGACTTTACAAGAGCCATGTCATAGTTAACACAAGCAGCTATCAAATATCAATACAAAGACTAACTACCTAACAAGGACAAAAAACAAGCTGGTGGAGTCTACTTCTAATTCTAATAGGAGCTATAATATTACAAACATAAGAAATTTATTTGGCAAGAGTGTCCAGTTTCTGCTTGTGTTCAAACTCCGAGGTTCCTTTCTTTCCAGATACTGTGTACACATTTAGCATATATCATTTTAAACGCTTGTGCAGCTCTAAAATTCCCTTTAGTATTCCCTAATATCCATTGGAAGTGTAGCTCCCAGCTTTGTGATCCCAGAGGTTGTCCCTGTAGCCATTAAAGGATTCTATTCCATAATCCCTGAGTAAATACACACATATGTAGCGAAAAGATGTTCTCTGTTTTCTTCATGTTGCTGGCACAAGCACATGTCTTATCCACCAAGCAGTGGCAGTTAACAGCCACACCTGCGGCATCAACCATAGTGTAAACATGACTTTGGATCTGGCACTATTGTTGACAATCAGATTGGTCCATGGTACTCTAGGCAATTCACCAAGAAGCTTCAAATTAATTGTTCTGATAATAGAAATACCATTCTAGATCTATATAATAGAAACATCATCCTAGCTCTAACTAAATAACTGCAGTCTATGGCACTCTAACAGACTGACCACTATTAGAAGATCCCTGTACAGTGAAGAACTGATTAGTGTTCAGGGGCATAAGGCTCCAGTAAGCACCATTGTTGTCTATACAACAGCTGTGCCATTTGATTTGGTAAGAACCCACAGGAAATGCAGAAACATCTAGCAAGCAGGTTGCAAATCCTTGCCCTTTCTCATTAGGATCAAAACACACAAATTTATCCACAGCTGAAGTCCCTCCAGCATTTTCCATAGCATGTAATCCATCTCTCTCGGTAGTCCCTGTTGTGAAGTGCAATAGCTTGTCATTAAGGCCTACCATGTGATCGCTTTTCCAAGCTTGACAACTGGACTCTGATACCTTCTTATCCTTGTTTGCACTGAATACTTGAAAGGATATCCTTGAGTGAAGGATGCAGTACAACTTCGACACTTGAGACAGCTGGTCTGGCAATATATTTCTTAGCTGAATACACAAAGTTAGAGGGAGCTGAAAGCCTGACAAGACAGATATATAGTCTATCCTTTTACCATCTTCATTTGTTATGAAAAGCTCAGCAGAAATAGGGGGCCTGCCATTTCACAGTTCAATATTAGAATACTATCAGAATTCTAATATTGAATAAAAATGTACAACTCTAGAACCAATCCAATTGAATCAAACAGATCTCAAAACTTGTTTTGTCTAAAAATCCACTACTGTTTCAAATGATCTGCTACTTCTATTCCCACCGAAGACAATTTCAGATCAAAAAGGGTCGATGACATCAAAGTATAAGTTGGCTACCATATGAAATATGAAACAGACTAACAGCAGTAGAATATCTCAATAAATTCAATAATAGCTCCTTCTAGTTGATTGCAGAAGTCTATGAATGAAACTTCAGTTACCTTAATTGAAAAAAATGTTTGGGAGTCCGGAAAGGAATCTGTATCCACGAGAAAATAATATTGAACAGCAACTGCAAAGCATCACGAGGAATTCGGGATATACCATTATTTTCATGTACATGAATCGCTTGCAAACTAAGAAATCTCTGAACGGAATATTTACAAAGTTTAGCAACATCTCTTGCTTCAACACAAGTTGTAGAGACTTCATTTCGGAATTCTTGCATGGAACAGCTCCTAGAGCTTCGATGGAAATCCAAAAGATGCCGCAGATTTTTGCTAGTCTCTAAGTCTGTAAACCCAAGTCTTCTTAACAAGTCATGAACTAGCTGAGTATGAAATTGCTCGTCTGTAGTTTCAAGACCATAAGTACTACAATATTGCTTACCATGGAAACTGGCAAAACGTAATGTTAATCCAGTACTAAAGGCTAACAGTGAACAACTTAATCCAAGATCAGAAACTATCTTCATACTTTTCCTGTCCATGACAATGAATGACGTTGCTAAGAGATCAAATTCCTTTACTAGCCTCATGAACTGGGAAGAAGCATGGGCAAGCAATTGCAACAATGAGCTGAGTCCTTTCGAAGAATTCGAGTGCTGAACCAAAATCCTCGCCTCTATTTGTTCTGTACTTCTGGTGGCATCTTGTGAAAGCAAATTCATGCTCAATAATTTTAGTACATCTGCCACAGTTCCAACAACCTTTGATCTTAAAGTAATAAACCATCTCTGAAAACTAAAAGCAAGACCAGAAACAGAGGCATCAAAAGCTTCCTCTAAAGAACAAAGCTTGTTGGCGGCCCCAATAACATTTTCAATGTGATCAGCTGTCATAATTTCCCCAGCTGCATTTCCAGAAAGAGTAAGCCCGAACAACTGAACTGTCCTTTCTAATTCTGAAAGATGGGATAAGGATTTTAACCAAAAACAACAGATATCAGATTGAACCATAGGTATTAGCTCCCCAAATATGTAAGCAGCTACTAACCATGCACCATTACATGCCGCATATTTTGCCAGCTTATAAGACAACCAATAATCTTTTTTAACCAAAATTTGCTTCACACGATCAATAATGAGAATTTCATGCTGGGACAGGGAACCATCATGTGAGAGAGAACTATAACGAGATGGACGAAAATTTCTATTAGAACCCAGATCTTCCCCTATCTCCAGCCACATACACTGATATGCAGCATGGAAGTGCAATAAAAGGTCATATATTAGGTGGATGTAAACAGGAAGTAAGCTGCACTGGTGCACATGCTCAACCAGATGCTCCATTCTGTTAAAGACTTGGGTGGCACCACCAGTGGAGACATCCAGCTTTTCAAAGCAAGTTATCAGAATCTGGGATAAATAAATCAAGACTCTTGATGCAGTTGATGTATGGTTTTCTTTGTCAAGCTCTGTTATATGATGATCTTCTGAGACTGAATTCGTCATACTGGTAATTTCATTAAGCATGCCGACCAGATGTTCAATAACTATACAGATCTTATCCAGCACAATACCAGAGAGATTTTGATGTCTTTCAACCAAATCAACTAGAATAAAAAGTAAACTCTTTACCTCCTGCTCCGTTCCTTTGTCTGGATGAGGATTATCAACCACTAACTTAATTAGTTGGGAGATGCGATCTAAGGTGAATGTAAGCATACGAGATGAAACAATTGAGCCAATTCCACCTGCTGCATCTTTCAGTATCCCCAAAAGCTTGTCAAAAATACAAACTAATACATGAATTGCAAAAACCCTCTCTGAGATGACTGGAGATTGTAGTTTGAACTCAACAATTTGTAAGAACTTGGAGAAAATAGTGAGGATCTCTGTGCATGGAATTGTATCTAGGTTGGGGGGAAGTATCTGCAAAGTAAGAGAATGTAAGCAGTACTAGTATGATTACAATAGCACAAATTTGACAGATCGAGAGGAAATACCTTGCATAAAGCTCTTAGAGCATCAAAATGCAAAGCTGGTGGAAAATCTAACTGATTTATGACGCCAAACAACTTTAGAGTCACATTTGAATTGGCCGGGAAGTGATACATTCCTTTGGCTAAAATGAAACGAAGACATTTTAATGCCATAACTTGCAGGCTCAAACCTCTATCCTTAGTCATAAATGAGGAAAGCAATTCCACCTGTAACCAAAATCAAGAGATAAATATGCAAAAAATCAGGTATAAAGTACAATAGATATCCTTAATTTCAATATTATATATTCAGCTTGTTTGCACAGACCAACTCAGCCATGACAGAAATTGCATGGCTTTCCTATTAAATCAGTTAATCAACCAGCTAGTTGGTGTAAGTTAATATGAATCTTCTATATACATTGTGCTTTATCCAGGCCTATTTCATTCTAATATTGGTGAAAAATTGGTCTTCTAAAGCAAATTAGGGGTCCTCTAAAGCTGGAGATTCTCTATATTTCAGACTATGCTTCCACTGGCAAATGCTTCTCTATAACCAGCTCCATGCCTACAATGATATATCTGGAAGTTCACATAGGAGATGCTAAAACCATCTTAGGCAA